CATCTTCCTCACCTCGTGCCAGAATTTGCATTATTGAGGTCAGTAATTCATAGGCAAACAAAAGAATATACCGTGGTTAAATCATATATGGCACCATTAGCAATGGTTTCATGATTTTTTATGGCCTAAAATTACAAAATATCTTGTGCCATAAAAAAGTACTGTTGTGTTGACGTCATAATGATATTTTATAATTATAATAATACATGTCATCGATATAAGATCCATATCCTAAGTCTCCCTTCCCATTCAATTGCACTATCAAATCTGTAATGCATCATAATGTAACATGTTAATTCAATACCTTGCTGTCCTTCTCATGCATTGTCCCAAAAATTGGACCATAAAAAAATTTAAATAAACTTAAGCCATGATACTTGAGGAGTAGTAGGTCTATGTGAGAGTCAAATTCTAAATAAGATCAACTAATTGCAAGAGTTTTTCTTTTACTTTATTACGTCGATCATGCGAGAGTCACAAACTAGTTCCATTCCTCCAACTAACTGGGTTCGGGTTGCACTACATAATTATTAAATATTTTTAATCATCACATTAATGGCATAGACAGTTGGTAGTATCATGAGAAGATTACGATCCTATGTTGTCAATGAATCTTGATGTACCCATATTGTAGTGCAAAAAAGTATTTTTTCACCCCCAATATCACTTCTCTTGATGATTAAAGGCATATATACACACATTTCAAAAATTAAAACTCACCTGTAGACCCTCTTACATTATCATCCCCATGTATGAAGGGACATGTCTTGGGACACAACCAAAGCCCCTTGTTTCCTTCCATATTTTTCATCCACTAATCACACTCACCTAGTACCACCATTTGCGATATTTATCATATATGGCTTCTAAATGGAGACCAATGTTCTCTTTTGTCATATATCGTTTATGCGAATGAATATGTAATGAACTAAAATGATGATAAAGTAGTATTGGTGTGTGGCTTTAGACAATTTGGAGAGTCAATTTTATTTTTTATTTTTTATTTTTTATTTTTTATCTGTGATGGTGATTCATAATGGCCGCATTAATCAAAATAATTGTATCGGACAATTTGTATGCTCCTACGGCCTTGTTGGTTCATTTTTTGTAATGTTGTGACTTATAATAATAATATCTCGTATCTTCAACCATCGCCACATAGATTTAATGTTTTGGCCACTTTCGAAGGGCATGGAAGATGGAACAAAATAGATAAGAATGAATATATTAATAATCTAAAATGACGATAAAGTAGTATTGGTGTGTGGCTTTAGACCCCTCTTACATTATCATCCCCATGTATGAAGGGACAAGTCTTGGGACACAACCAAAGCCCTTGTTTCCTTCCATATTTTTCATCCACTCATTCACACCCTCACCTAGTACCACCATTGTGTTATTGAGGTCAATAATTCATCAGAAAACCAGAGATAACAAAATGATCTAGTGCTCGCACCACACCATCAATAGTGTATGCATGTTTAGTTTCATGATAATTTTGGAGACTTAAAATTTACAAATTTTTTATTATTAAAACATTATTGTGATGTCACGTCATTCATGTGACATTCCACAATTATAATAATATATACATTTAATGCATACTTTTTGTAGATTGTCCATATAAAATTTATGTCAATTTCATTCATATATGATTAAGGCAATGATGATCCTCTCCTGTTCTTTGATTAATCTCATTCAGTGTCATGTTGTGTACTATTAAAATTATATTGCAACATACTGTATTTGATCGATCTCATTCACTGTCATCTTGTGTACTACTAAAATTATATTGCAACATACTAAATTATAATACAAATCAATGTTATAATGATATAACACTCATGCAATAAATCTATATCCAAAATGCAACATCAATACAACATGTTTTCTTTGTATTATAACGCTACAACACTATTAAATATAAAATTCAACACCGTTAGCTAATTATTGCATTTTTAATTTAAAATTATTGTGTGTCAATTTAAATTCACTGGACGATACAAGTCCTACCATTCTAGAAGAGAAAATCTTGAACTGTCTATATAACTTATAGGATTAAATATAAATTTGATATACATGAAAATTAGTCTTAGAAAAATAATATAAATTTTGACCCACACTCATTAGACAGGTCCATCAATCAACATTAGTGCTAGTCTGCTAGAAAAATAATGTACATTTTGGTCAACAGGTCCATCAATCAATATGTAAGTTAATTCATTAGATTATAAAATAATCTTTTGTGTAAAATTATTGTGTATTTTATATAACATTCTTACACAGTCACAGTATATTTCTTTTCTCCTCTTTTTTTTCTCATTCCATTAACCAATCAACTCTATATTAAGTAGGTTTGTAAAAATTATGTAAGGTCCAGACATGATATTAGTTGATTGTTATCGGGAATGTATTAAAAATATATATAAAGATGCTCATAGTCTACTAGTTTGGAAGTAATATTTATTTATACATTCTCAATTTTGATTGGACCATCACAAGATGTTGTAAACAGAGAGTCCGGGCCACCTATATATATATATAATTCTGGGCTTAGAAATTAAATTATCATTTCTTTTGCCTATCCATTTTTGTGTTGATGTTAGCTTGGGTTTCTTGCTGTTAAAAGGGCAGACTAGCAGCAAGCTGCATGTCGAAAGATGGATATATCCATTACTTTTCTTGTCTTCTTTCTCTTACCATGACAGGTCTTGCAACTGTTAATGGAGATCTGAAAAAGGTGCATATCACTACTTAAACTTCTCTTCCTTAATCCATATCATGTTTAGCGTTCCAGAATTCATGATGATTTTGGACACTAAAAATTTACGAATTCTCCACCGCAATAATTAAAACACTATTGTGATGTCAGTTGATGACATCATTCATGATGTTGCAATAACATTCCATAAATATAATAATGCATCTTGTGCATATTTTTTTGGATTGTTCATATAAAACAGGAACTCTTTATATCAATTTTATTCATATAGATTTAAGGCAATATTTCTCTCGTGTTCCTGTCATCTCGTGTACTATTAAAATAATATTGCAACACACTATATTATAATGCAATGCAGTATTATAATGATGCAACACTCCTGCAACAAATCTATATTCAAGATGCAACATCAATGTAATATATTCAAGCACAAATCTTTGAAGGACTCAGTATGTCCCCACTGAAATTTTTTATTATTATATTTTATACTCCTAAATTTATACTTCTTTATATTTATACTGATAAAAATTTTAAAATAATTTTGAAATTACCCTCACTAAAATTATGAAAAGACCTCTTTATATAAATCCCCCCATATGAATTACTAAATCTGTCCCTGAATAAATTTCATTGTGTTAATTATGCTGCAACACTATTAAATATAAAATTCAATTTTCAATTAAAAATTGTTTTGTGTACATTTTTAGAAGAGTGAATCCTGATCTGTCTATATAAGTTTATCTCTCAACTTACTCATTCCTCATTCCGCATATTCATCAATTTACTTGGCCCACTCTAAAGATCAGTAAATCTCTCCCCCTCTCTCCCTCAAAGTGATCTAACACTAGTCAATTCCTCATTCCCGCATATTTTGTATGAGTAGTATAATATAATTTGAATTTATTATATTTTGTGTGAGTAGTAGTATATTGCAAAATTTAATACTACACTTGATCTTAGCCAAAAGGCCAAGAATGTGTGATTATTATTTCTTTAACTCTATAGTTTTATAAGAGACTTTTATGTAATTCTTTTTACTTAAAACCAATGTAGGACTTTGTAATTTGAATTAAATTCTTTTTATATTTTGTTAATTTGAATTAATTTTAATTTTATTAGGTAATTTTGAGTTTTATAGAATTTATATCGTGGGATATAATTATTAATGAGAGTTCTTTATTGTGAATTAAACTCTTTTATATTTTGTTAATTTGAATTTTATTAGATAATTTTGAGTTTTATATAATTTATATCAATTAATAAATAAATACTGAAACTCTTTGTACAAAGGCCGAGAAAGTAGTATTATACTAGATCTTAGCCAAAAACCGAGAAAGGTTAGCTAAAAGGCCGACCCAAAAAAATTTAGAACTACACTTTATCTTAGTCAAAAGGCCGAGAAGGTATAATTATTATTTCTTTAATTCTATAGTTTTATAAGAGGTTTCCATGTAATCCTTTTTACTTAAAACCAATGTGGGACTTTGTAATTTGAATTAAACTCTTTTTATATTTTGTTATTTTGAATTAATTTTAATTTTATTAGATAATTTTGAGTTTTATAGAATTTATAGTAATTAATTAATAAATACTGAAACTCTTTGTATAAAGGCCGAGAAAGTAATATTACACTTGATCTTAGCTAAAAGACCAAGAAAGGTTAGCTAAAAAGCCAACCCAAAAAAATTTAGTACTACACTTGATCTTAGCCAAAAGGCCGAGAAAGTATAATTGTTATTTCTTTAGTTCTATAGTTTTATATGAAATTTTCATGTAATCTTTTTTACTTCAAACTAATGTGGGACTTTGTAATTTGAATTAAACTCTCTTTATATTTTGTTAATTTGAATTAATATTAATTTTATTAAATAATTTAGAATTTTATAAAATTTATATCAATTAATACAGAAATACTGAAACACTGATACACTTTGCACATTAAATAATAATATAAATATAGATATAGATATATATATTTACGGGACCGATCCTCTTGTCTCTTTGTGGGTGTGTGTATATATATATTTAAGGGACCCAATCCTCTTCTGTCTCTTATCAGGTTTGAGTACATTTTGTGCACTATTAATGATGTAAATCCTATACATACGGTGTATTATATAGATTTTTTTTTTTTTTTTTTAATTAGAAAAAAATTTACACACATTACTCATATACTCATTTACCCTTTTGAATATTCGAATTCTTATCATCTATTTTGATAAAAAAAAAAAAAAAAATCATTAGGACACAAAACTCTTGGTGTCTATATAAAGACGAGTTTCCCTTCAACTAACTCATTCAGATTCAACATTTTTCTCGGGCCGCTGCAAAGACAGGTATATCTCTATGTTCCCCTTCTGGATTTGTAGAGGCTCCCTCAAAGTGATAAACACTGGTCAATTTCTATTAGCTTCCCGATAGCCTTAATTTGATCTCTTTGCATTATATAATACTCTCTTTATATTGTTATTGTGATGATAAACCATGAGAATCAACCCACATGCACATATATTATGTCTTAACCATCTTCATCTTGTGCTATTTGAAAGACAGTTTAAGCGCCTACGTCATCATCCATGGAGCTCTCGGCCGGCATACTCCAATTACTTATTCAAATAAGGAATGCTCAATTTCTTCTTTCTGATTTTGAAAAGATGACGTCTAATAGTATTTCTAGAACAATAATTATACGATTAAACTATTATATATTTGACACAACAATTCAACCACAATAACAGTTAATTACCTAGATAAACCGGTGGCCACCAACTACACAAAAATCAAGCCACCAAACACCACCGGTTCACTACTGCTTGTCCCCACCGATTTTCAACCATTGAATCCGGCCACCAAACACCACCCAAAAAAATACGTATTTTTTTTATAAAAAAAAAAAAAAAATCCATATATATGAGAAGTTTGAGAACCCATTAATTCTATATTACAATTAAATTAGGAGATAAGATGCAGCATCAATGAAATTGTGATTTTTCACTTATTTGCAGAAATTCTGTGTGGATTGGGACCAACTCAACGATTGATTCCGCGTCCCAAAAGGCTCTGATGTGATATAGTGTAAAAGAAAATCATTGGCAACTGGATATCTTGGGTTTGCAGGAGTTTAGATTTGAGTATGATAAAAAGGAATTTGTATATATATGCGCTAAATTATTATTATTATTATTATTATTATTATATTTTTTTTAAAGCTGAGTGTTACCCACTGATGAGAGATAGAAGAGAGATCGCGAGAGAGAGAGAGAGAATAAAGACAGGAACAGGGGTAGAGAGAGAGAGAAAAATATTAAAAAAATAAAAACTGAAAATTTTGTTTTGTTTTTGTTTTTTTTTTTTTTTTGTTTTATATTTTGATTTCTATTTTGATTTAAGGGTAATTTAGGTATTTCAATCTTCAATTTGAGTAATTGTCCTCATTTGCCAATTTGAAAAATATAAGGGAGTATTTTCAACAACAATGGGCTCTTTGCACAAACTGTATATAGCAATGAATTTTTTTTGCACTTAACCCATAAAAGTATGGTGAATCTGTGATACATAAAACAAAAAATTTCAAGTTCAAATATTACTATATATATATGAAGAATATATATATATGTTGGCTAAATTCAAGCAATTTATATCTTCCGCAAAAGGTCAAAAAGTTACTATTGCTTTGTTGGCAACTACTTTTTTTTTTAAAATGGAGGTCTACTGTAAAATGTTAAAAGGCAAAAGGATTTTAATGCAGTTTTGTCCTTGGGGCCATGTTCAACTCCATGTGCCCGTGTTTGAGTGCTGCCTCTTCTTCGTATTTGTTAATAATTTTACAATTTATTTTTCCATTAATCAATAGAAATGTTATTAATTTTATACTATATATCTCGTAAATCGTAACTGATATCATACAATACTACGAAAACGTAAATTTTATTTCGAAGCATATATAACTACGAATGTAAGTTGCTTGTTGAATGTTACGATGATTAATTCAATTATTATACATAGTTTTTTAAAACTATATATTAATAAATGAAATAAATAATACAAGATGTATCTTTTGGTTAGTTAAAAATATATATCTAAACAAATAAATACACAGCTCTATAATTTTTATATAATTCTTTTGCAACTTCATCACTCTCTTAGTTTCATTTACTATTGAAAAAAAAAAAAAAACCTAATTATCATATATAAAAAAAACATTATATAACTGCTACTGTATGTTTTACGATATATTTTTTATTAGCATTTGTATTATACCCATATACATATATATATATATACATATATATATATATATATATATATATATATTTGTACAATTTACTTTTTTTATGCCTAATTTTTAAACGTATTTAAAAAAAAAAAAAAAAAAAAAAAAAAAAAAAAAAAAAAAACAAACAAACATCATTTTAACAACCATTTATGTTAACAACCATCTACATCAAAAGTTTAAACTGTTAAATTATTAAAGAGAGTATAACTTTAATATTTATATCCTTTAACATTTATTTGGTTAACAATGCCTTGGGTTTCTTTTTATTAACAGAGTGGATTGTCTGCAAGGATGTTGAGAAATGAATATATGCATTACTTTCCAATCTGTTTTTGTCTTCTCTTCCTTACCTTGATAGGTCTTGTAGCTGTAAATGGAGATCTAAAAAAGGTGCATGTCACTACTAAGCTTCTCTTCCTTAATTTATAGTTTTAGCATTCGATCTCATTATCATTGCAAATATTATATATACGTATATAATCACATATTTAACTTGCAGGAATTTTACATTGTTTTCTTGAATGATCGTCCACTTGAGGAGGAATCTTTGTTTCAGTCACACATTGATGTCCTCTCAGCCTTGAAGGGAAGGTTGATTAATTGATTGAAACGTTCTCTTGATTGTTGATTGTATGTATAGGTGCAAAAATAATGTGTTGATCATTTTTAAACAGTCATGCTGATGCTAAGGAGTCCCATGTATATAGCTACACGAAAATCTTCAATGCATTTGCTGCAAAACTATCGGGAGATGAAGCCAAAAAGTTATCCAGTATGTGTAACAACTTGTTAATTATTCTTCTTTCTAATGTTTAATTATTATTTTATAATTATATATGTCTAAAAATGAATGTCTAGGCATGGATGAGGTGCATGCTGTTTTCAAAAATCAATATCGAAAGCTACATACAACTCGATCGTGGGACTTCCTTGGTTTTCCTCAAACAGTAAGAAGAAATTTGAAAATGGAGAGGGACATTATTATTGGTGTACTAGATTCAGGTTAGAAATGTTGTGTGTGTATGTGTGTTTGTGTATTCAATTTAATGATTTTTTTTGAAAACTAATAATGTGTGTATGTGCCCTGGTCAGGTATCACTCCAAATTCAGAAAGCTTTAAGGACGATGGATTGGGTCCTCCACCAGTGAGATGGAAAGGAAGTTGTGGCCCCTTTGTTCATTTTTTAGGATGCAACAAGTATAATAGATATTCAAATCCTTAATTATATATGGAGTATTTCATTAACTTTAAAGCACGTACCACTAATCATCTTATTAATTTTTAATGTTGGTGTTATGTTACAGCAAGCTTATAGGAGCCAAATACTTCAAGGCAGACCAAGAACTCTTCCCTGGGGAAATATTCTCGCCAGTAGATGTGAGTGGCCACGGGACTCATGTATCATCAACAGCTGTGGGACGTCTTGTAGCAAATGCAAGCGTATATGGACTTGGTAGAGGGACTGCACGCGGAGCAATGCCCTCGGCGAGATTGGCTATGTACAAGGTGTGCTGGGGCGCCAATATTCTTTGTGCAGATATGGACATTCTTGCTGGCGTTGAAGCCGCTATCAGTGATGGTGTTGATATACTGTCCATGTCTCTTGGTGGTCAATCGCAAGATTTCTTGGACGTTGTAGGAGTGGCTTCATTTTTTGCCATGAGAGCTGGGGTCATCACAGTTGCTGCTGCTGGAAATGATGGACCAACTGCCGGTACGGTCGCCAACCATGCACCCTGGATTTTAACTGTGGCATCTACTGGTATTGATCGCCAATTCAGGAGCAAAGTTGTGTTAGGCAATGGAAAAACCACTTCAGTAAGTCACTGATTGACTGATTGATCTAAGCTCGAATAGCTAGCTAGTTAGCTGCTCCATCTGCTCAACCCAACTTACTTGTTGCGAATTAATTAAAACATCTGCAGGGAAGGGGAGTAAACGCATTCAATCCTAAGCGAAAAATGTACCCACTTGTTATGGGGGCTGATGCAGCCAAAACATCTTCGAGCAAGTTAAATGCAAGGTGTATATACTACTTGTGTGTATATGAATCCATTAATTAAGCATTCAAGAAAATCATATATAGTATCTGCTTAAAGATCGAAGGCTAGCTAATTACTTATTTACAACTTATTTTATAGTGTGGTTTCTATACAGTTATTGTATTGAAAACTCAATAGACCCTGTCAAGGTGAAAGGAAAACTTGTCTTGTGCAAATTAGTGTCGGGACTACCTGATTCTTATATCAAAAGCATTGGAGGGATCGGCACTATCATCAATACTGATTATAACATTAGTCTTATCACTGACCCAATTTACATGGCACCAGCAACCACAGTGAATTCCACCGAAGCTGAACCCATTCGTGACTACTATTTACACTCTGTAAGGTATATCTATATTCTATTACGAGGCCACTGCTATATATATTATATTACAAGATTTATGAATGATATAAAATGTTTGATTATTTAATAGAAGAAGAAATGATTGGGTGCTTTTATCCCATTCAGATCACCATCTGCAGTGATATACAAGTCACAAGAAGTTAAAATTCCAGCTCCATTTATGTCTGTTTTCTCTTCTCGAGGTCCAAGTCCAGCATCAGAATACATTCTCAAGGTTTATGTGTGTGTGTTAGTGTTAATTATAAGGGTTTTGCACCTTCTTCCATGTATAATAGGGCCTAGTACTCAACTAAACTTGCTCATTTGATGTATAATGGAACAGCCTGATATTGCAGCTCCGGGTGATGGTATTTTGGCAGCATACACCCCTCTGGCGACACTTACCAAGCGTAAAGGTGATACCCAACATTCGAAATTCTCATTCATAAGTGGAACTTCTATGGCATGTCCACACGTTAGTGGTGTAGCTGCCTATGTAAAGTCATTTCACCCGGATTGGCCCTCAGCCGTAATAAAATCTGCTATAATGACAACTGGTAAGACCAACCTCATATCTTCTCATTTCTTCTTTTGATTTTTAACTAAGTTGATTATCACCAATTTTTTTTAGGACTTGAATTACTTATATCACAATGTAAATTCAGAAGTTTCCAAGCAATTTAAATAAGAATTACTTACAATAAAGTTTTCACTATAATATAATTCCTTTGTATAATCCTCATAAATTTGTTTATAGTTTGCTGAGAGGCTTGTGTACTTAGCTTAGCCCTTTTTATATAATTTTCATGCATCCTCTTAATTAAACTTTCTTGAAATATTTGTCAAAGCAACACCTTTGAGCCCAAGAGTGGATAGTGATGCTGAATTTGGCTACGGTGCTGGCCAAATGAACCCAACCAAAGCAGTGAATCCCGGCCTAGTCTACAACATTGATTCCATAGAGGATTACATTCCATTTCTTTGCCGAGAGGGCTACAGTGGATCCATTCTTGCCTTATTATTCAGTTATAATGTGAATTGCTCGGATTATCCTCCTCCAACAAGTCATGATGCTCTTAACTATCCTACTATGCAACTTCATTTGAAAAACACTCAACGCCCAACCACAGTTGTTTTCCAAAGGACGGTAACTAATGTTGGTCCTTCTCCATCCATTTACAATGCCACCATTACAGCACCCAAAGGAGTGGAGATCACTGTCAAGCCTATGAGTCTCTCCTTCTCTACTGCCATCCAGGAGCAGAACTTCAAGGTCGTGGTGAAAGCGAAACCCATGTCTAAGGGTGTAAAAATAATTTCAGCGTCGCTCTCATGGAGAAGCGCTAGACATGTTGTCAGGAGTCCAATTGTTATTTATCAATGAGAAGATCGACCTACCCTGCAATGGATGTCGTGTAATGAAAATGCACAAAGGATGAAATGCATGATCAAAAATAAAAATGGAAGATAATCCGATATACGTACATGATTTAGGTGTACTATGTGCGTGTGTCATTTTGTATGTGTATTGCAACTCGATCATTCATATGAATGTTGTTCATGAAGTTGAAGGTATGGTAAAGCTGAGATGTAAGCTTTGTTTGAGTTGCATTAATCTTTACTTGCATCAAGAGAAATGCTAGGAATTGGAATTTTTTTTTATATTTATATATTTTTTTATTTTTTTGTGACGCATGAATATTCATTGCCAATTCATCTAATTGAACGTTGATATATGAAGATCATTTACATAACATAATGAGAACGAGAGTATTGTTACGATTTATCATTGTCAATATTGAGGGATTTTTAGATGGGAATCAAGATTTTTCGATTGTCTTCGTATCCCGTGAAACTAATAGTATTGTTCATTATTTAGCTTGGTAGGCTTTAAAAAGTAAACTAAAAAAGCTTTATACTTTGGAGATTTCCTTGCGCATTTGAAGTTGTATTGCTTTAGATTCATCTATAAACTGCTAATGTTCTTGTTCTCTTCCCAATTTATCAACGAAATTTCTTGTCTTTTCATCAAAAAAAAAAAAAAAATTTAATTATTATAAAAATAACTTTTATAGAAAAATCTAATAAGTTTAATTTAGGATTTTATTTTATTATTATTATTTTTTTTTCTACATTAGCCACAAATATCTTTTTTGATTCAAAAATCTAATAAGTTGGTGTTTTATATTATTATTTATCATTATTTACACTTTATAGAATATTTGAAATTCAAAAGAAATTATACATCGACTTGGTTTCGACTCGATCATTAGTTGAAAATGCATTAGATTTGTATTAGCTTTATTTGTTAATTTGTTTACATATTAATTAGTGATTGATCGGGATTAAAATATCCGAAACCATGTATCATTAGTTGAAATTGCATCAAATTTATGTTAGTTTTATTTATCATTTTATTTACATATGTTGGGACTAAAAAATCCGAAACAATGTAACAATTTTTTAAAATTCTGAATCAAGCTCTATCATTTTGATGGGTAGGACATGTAAGTATTGCTTGAGATCTTACCAAAATTAAAACAAAAGGTGAAAGACACTAAAGTTAAAACATAAAAAAAAATAAAGCTCACCTGTCGACCCTTCCTCCTACATGATTATAATTATACCAAAATTAAAACAAAAGGTGAAAGACACTAAAGTTAAAACATAAAGAAAAATAAAGCTCACCTGTGGACCCCTGCTTTCCGTACTTTTCATCCACTCACTCATTCATACATCACTCCACCACAGACTACCACAATATGCATTATTGGGTTCAATAATTCATAGGAAAACCAAATAATATACAGTGATTGAACCATATATGACACATTATATTGTTCATAATTAAGTTGTGCTGTCAGTTTATTAACTTTCTTTTGAATTTAAATGTCATATATAATGAAGCAATCGTCCTTAACATGAACTACTCTTGATTCTTGAATGATGGAGGATATCATGGTAATTTCTATTCCGTTCTTTGCATTAATCATTAATTTAAAGTTGGAAAATTACATATAAACTTGGGCAAATTGTGAAATTATACATGGACTTGATTTTGACTCGATCCTTAGTTGAAAATGCATAAGATTTGTGTAAGTTTTATTTATCAATTTGTTTACATATTAATTAGTGATTGATCGGGATTAAAAAACTCAAAACCATGTATCATTAGTTAAAAATGCATCAAATTTATATTAATTTTATTTATCATTTTATTTACATGTGAGAACTAAAAAATCCAAAACCATGTAACAAATTTTCAAAATTCTGAGTCTAGCTCTATCATTTGATGGGTCGGTCATGTAAATCTTGCGTGAGATCTTACAGAAACTAAAACAGAAGGTGAAATATACTTTCAACCCATTATCCCTCTGGATGATTCAAGTTAAAGACAAAAACGTACACTTATAAAAATAAAGCTCATCTGTAGACCCCCTCCCTCCTACATTTTCATTATAGGACATTCTACTTTTGGATGGCATTTAAAATGAAGGGACAAGTCTCGGGTCGAATCTCTCATTACTCAAAAGATGAAAGTTAAGGCCCTGTTTGGGGCATGTTCCATCTTGTTCTATGCCCTTTCCTACAGTACAAATGGGCACTATTGAGCAAACTTGGTTGTTTGGTGTGGGCTGTATTATGTCCAACAGTTGTAGAACAAATTCAGTTTTTGGGCCAACTTCCGGAACAAAAAAATTATGTTCCAAAGTGTTCTCAAATTGTGCAAGGCCCACTTTTCACTGTATTATTTAGAACAATAGCCCAACCGGTTGGAACACTGAGAACACAATACATCAATTCGGTCCATCTTGTTCTAGGGTTCTCTCTGCGACTGAGGCGATTCACAGTGTACCCTTGGGAGGTACTGAAGCTTTTCCGAGATCTTGGGTTGAAATCGACACCATTGATGTAAATACGAAGCTTCTCGACAACGTCTTCATCTCACCGGTGAGTTCCAAACATGCATCTTCGTCATTGAAACGAGTCTGCAAGTTCTGTCTAAATTTACTCACATGTATAATCAAGATCGGACTTGTCGGTGTTCCACTGTGTATGCAGATCTGAAGATAAACTTCCCCTTTGTGAGCTCTGCGTTTTCCGGCGAACCAAGCTTCGCCGCTGCTCTCTGCACTCTCGGATTCACAGGCGATTCTCGGTCTATTTACCTTCATCGTCGACACCAGGTGAGTTAATTTATTGTTTGCCTGAAAAAAAAAATTATATGGCTAGGACCTTGTTGCCTGATTTGTAAAGCTCTGCCGTCTTGTATCTCTATTTATACTGTACTGTGGCTTCGGCGGACCATCAAACTGCCAACCCTCTTGTATCAAGCTTCTAACTCGCTTTGATTTGGTAAATTTTTTTTTTTTTTTTCCCTTCCTTAGCTAAATCTTAGCATGCATCTCTCCCCGGTACAAATTATAGAGGGCCGAAGCCCTGTAACCCAACAATTTAAAGTTACACTACTATAACTTATCCGATGGGCATCAAAAGTGCAGAAAATCCGATGGGAGAGGTTGGAGGCGTTTGAATACTTCCCTAATGAAAAATAAATAAATAATGTAGGGGCACATGTATACATGTATGAAAGGGTAGATTAGAATCACACTTTTCATATTTTGTGTTAATTATTGGTAGATTGCTAGTTTGAAAAAATCTACACATACAGAAACACTCCTGATAAAATTATCCGTGAACAAGTTGTGTTTTGGCCTTCATCTTACAATAATTTTAAGTGACAAGTAACAACTTCCATTTACAACTTAGTTCTCAGAGAAGCAAAAACACTTGTTCGATTCTATAAATTTGTAGAACCAAATCCCAAATGACATAAATAAAATCGTCCATAAAAAGATAAGGTACCATACAAAAAGTCCAGCTGAGTAGTTGTACATAAATATAAAGTCGAAATGGATTAAAAATTCTGTTCCTGCAGACGATAGGTTGCAATGACCAATGATATACCCTTGTAGATCGAGATGCATCAAGGATCATCACACCTCACCCACCACCTGTATAAATTTCATAACCAAACATGAAAGGAATGCTTCATCATAACATGACTACTAACAGTCACTAGTTTTAACCCCTATTACTTTGCTTATTTGCAGTCATCACTAACCAACCACAACTATACCTTACCTCAAGTAAACCATGCTCCAATAATTCAAGAGAGTGGCCCAAGAACCGTATTGATATGCCAAGGACTTGTACCCTATTTTTGAGGAATTCGCAATTGTTTGCATATTTATGGTGTACTGTGGCTTCACTGGACCTAATGGTTGTATCTCTATACTTTGTTTTGTTCTTGCCTGATTTGTTGACGATTTTGTGGTGGAATGTTCAAAAAATTGCCACTGGACTGTTGAAGGAACAGATTATAAAAATCTTATTTGTTTTCTGTAATTTCTCTATTTATTTCTCTATTTATTTATTTTTCAATCCATGAGATTTTTCTTTGACTGAATATGTAAACATAGGACTGAGAAATATCATGCGTTCAAACCGGTTGGACCATGTCTATATGACAACTCATGGGTTGCTTTGAATGATAACATATTTTTGTCTGGAATGCATATTATATAATTAATGATTCTATAGGCACAGATTCATACCTGTTTTGAATTTACTTGAATACTTCATAAAAAAAATTGTTGTCTTCAAAGCAACATTCGTCTCTCTCTCTGTATATCTATATATCTATATAGCTACTAACAAAACAAGTGTGAAATGACTAATGAGTGTGTTCAATTGTGTCATTATTTTAGTAAGAAGAATTTACTGACCGACAATAAAAGATGAGATGTTATCATGGACCAAGCTCGCAAAAATAAAAAAATATTATCATTCTTAATTAGTGGACATAACACATATGATTAATGATTGTAAAACTTTTTCACGAGGTCATAAAGAGAAAACTATAGATGACCTGGGGAAAAAGAAATGTTTGATTAAAAATAAGGAATGAACTGAAATAAGGATTATGAAAAACATGATTCGTAGATCCAATCCCTTGTATAATGTTTTTGGATTCTATCTTATACACTTTAACAATGAAAGATCAATTTTTTTTTTTTTGCTTTTGGAGTAGTTGTATAACTTGAGGTTCGAGTCTCGGCCTAGACAAAAAGGCATATATCTTTGCTTTAATGTTGAGATAAATATGAAAGAAAAATGGTATATCCGATGACATCATTCCCAACTTACGTGAGTATAATACAATGTATCTAATTATCGGACTATGTCAGTATCACAACTCAAATTGTTTTTTCATTTAATGGCGTCATGATAATTGTGTAGTTAAGACGATGTTATTGCCTAAGATTACAGTTGTTAATGACCCTTTTAACACATTTTTATTAAAATTAGATGGATATCAATGCTGACAATGTGGTGGACTCAGAAATAGAGGACCTTACAGAGAATACCGATGATGGAAAACTAGTATGGGATGCCACCCATCTTGAAGCTTTCATCATCTGTATGGAGGAAGAAGTTTATGGCGGTAATCGGAATAACACAACTTTTACTCCAAATGGTTGGAAGAATATACGGAAAGGCTTGAGTAGGCGTACAGGCAAGAACTATGAACTGAAAAAACTTAAGAGCAAATTCAACCACCTGAGGGTAGACTACAGAGCCTTTATGAGTTTGTTAGGAGAAACAGGCGTGGGATATGATGCTGAGA